ATTCTGATTCTCTGCATTCTGTCACTGTGGCAGATGGTTCTAAAATCAAAGTTCAAGGCCTTGGTCAGGCACATCCACTTCCAAATTTGTCTTTAGAGTATGTCCTTTACATTCCTGATTGTCCCTTTAATCTAATATTTGTTCACAAGTTTATTCGTACTCTTGTTTGTTTAGTCTTTTTTAATGATAATTCTGTTTATATCCATAATCAACGTACAGGACAGACGAGTAGAGCAGAGAGTGAATTTGGAGGATTATATCATCTTTCTCCAATGATGGCATGTGTTTCTATTTCTTCTTAAGAACTGACACATCAACATTTGGGTCACCCTAGTCTTAATAAAATGTATCTTTTAGTTCCTAGCCTTTCTAAGCTTTCGTCTTTTGAGTGTCAGTTCTGTCAATTAGGGAAACATACTCGTAGTACTTATTGTCAACGGGTAAATAAAAGTGCTGCACACCTTTTGCTTTAGTTCACTCTTATGTTTGGGGTCTTAGTCGTGTGAAGTCTACTATAGGATACTATTACTTTGTAACTTTCATTGATGATTACTCACGATGCACTTGGTTATTTCTAATGAAAAATCGTTCATATGTTTTATGTATCTTCCAAGAGTTTTATGCTGAAATTAAAAACCAATGTAACACTTCCATTAAAAATTTACGCACTGATAATGCTCGTGAATATATGCCATCCCAGTTTCAATCTTTTTTAACATTATAGGGAATTATTCACCAATCATCACGTGCTCATACACCACCACATAATGGTGTTGTTGAACGAAAAAAATGGTCATTTAGTTGAAACCGCACAAACTCTTTTACTTTACCACAATGTATCCTCTTATTTTTGGGGTGATGCTCTCCTCATCACATGTCACCTTATCAACTGAATTCCTTCATCGGTCCTTTAAGATCAGATTCCATACTCTATCTTGAATCCGCAATATGATCTCTACCCCATTCCCCTTCGCGTATTTGGTTGCACATGCTTTGTTCATGATCTTAGTTCAGGTAAAGAAGAATTTTCCGCTAAATCTCTCAAATGTATTTTTCTAGGCTACTCACATATACAAAAGGGATATCTTTGTTTTTATCCTCAAATTCAACGGTACATTATCTCCTCCAATGTTACATTCTTTGAAGGTTCCCATTTCTTCTCTGCCTCTTCATCACCCGATGAAACTTGTAATTTAAATTATCAATATATCCCTTTTGTCATCCCCATGCCCATTAAACCTCCTTTGCAGGTATATCAGCGACACACATTGCGTCCATCGGAAGTTAGAGATGACATTGATCCACCAACACCATCTCCTACACCAACTATTCCTCCAACTATGTCACCTGAACTTGACCTTCCAATAGCATTACGAAAAGGTATTCGATCTCATAATCCAAATCCTAAATATGTCTGTGTTTTAAATTATGACAGTCTCTTTACTTCCTATGTTTCTTTTATGTCTACTTTGGATTATGTGTTTATTCCTAAGTCTACAGGTGAAGCTATGACTGATCCTAATTGGCGTCAGGAGATGATGGAAGAAATGGTTGCCTTGTATTCAAATAACACTTGGGACATTATCCTTTGCCCTCAAACAAAACTACAATGGGATGCCGATGAGTTTATACATTGAAAGTTGGACCAAATAGCCACATTGATCATTTTAAAGCTCATTTGGTAGCCAAGGGATACACATAAATATTTGGCCTTGATTATGGTGACACTTTTTCTCCAGTGGCCAAGATTAGTTCAGTCCGTCTCTTCCTTACAATGGCTGCTATAAATCATTGGTCGCTTCATCAGTTGGATATTAAAAATGCCTTCTTACATAGAAAATTGGAGGAATAAGTGTATATGGATCACCCTCCTGATTTTAATATTCCTGGTAATTCAAGACTTGTTTGTCGACTTCATCACTCTCTTTATGGGCTGAAACAGTCTCCACGTGCTTGGTTTGGTTGCTTCAGCTCTGCCTTGATACAATTTGGTATGACTGGATGTGAAGTAGATCACTCTATTTTCCTCCTTCAATCTTCCACCGATCAACATATTTTTCTTGTGGTTTATGTTAATGACATTGTTATCTCTGGAGACAATACAGAGGGTATCCAGCGACTCAAAACTCATCTTTCCAAAAACTTCCAGACAAAAGATTTGAGTCCACTCAGATACTTCTTAGGTATTAAAGTTACTCAGTCCTCATCAGGCATTGCAATTAACCAGCGTAAGTATGCATTAGACATCCTAACTAAAACTGGTATGGTTGACCGTCATCTGATTGATACTCTTATGGATCCCAACGTCAAGCTTCTTCTGGGTCAGGGGGAGTTTTTGAATGACCCGAGAAGATATCAATGTCTAGTGGGTAGACTCAACTATCTTACCATCACCAGATCGAATATTACTTTTGTAGTGAGTATTGTAAGTCAATTCCTGAATGCTCCTTGTGATACTCATTAGAATGCAGTTATTTGGATTCTCAGATATATAAAGAATGCACCAGGACAAGGCCTATTATATGAAGATAAAGGTGATGCTAAAATCATATGTTATTCAGATGCAGATGGGGCAGAATCACCTTCGGATAAGAGATTCACTTCTGGATATTGTGTTCTTATTGGAGGAAATATGATCTCATGGAGGAGAAGAAACAAAACATTGTTGCATTATCTAGTGCTAAAGCTGAATATCGTGATACAAAAACATCCTAAAAAGAACTTGTATGGCTTAAGAATTTGCTCTCAGAACTTAAGTTCAGTGACCTTCAAACCATAAAACTCATATGCGACAATCAAGCGACACTCCACATTGCGTCCAATCCGGTTTTCCATGAACAGACCAAACACATAGAAATAAACTGTCATTATGTAAGAGACAAGGTACTGTCAGGAGAAATAACCATAGAATTTGTCAAATCTGAAGATCAATTGACTGATATATTTACCAAGTCTCTCAAGGGTTCTCGAGTGAATTATATTTGTAACAAGCTCGGATCATACAATATATACGATCCAGCTTGAGGGGGAGTGTTAAGAATCTGTTATGAATCGATTAGTATTGATTGATATTCAATTAGTAATTAGTGTAATTGATATTGTTTTCTATTATATATTTTCTATTTGCATATAAATATAGACCATGTGTGATCATATTCGACACACATAAATACAATTACAACATCCGCCAATTCATTATGTCATTAACTCTTCCATTTCTACAATTTTCTTGGTGTATTTGTCAATGAACTCTTGGAGCATATCATTATTCCCTTATTGAATGGCGCAAAGTATGGCCTCTTTCTTATATTGATGCCTAACTAAGAGTTGTGAAATGAGGAGTAAATTTTTCGCACAATATTCTCCATGCATAGGAAGTAAACTTCTAGAACCTTGAACCAAGTCATGGCGGCTCACTTCAAGGTGAGAACAAAACAATTTCATTTCACTACTCCTCTCGCTTGGTGGTATTCTAGAATAATGTCCATGCACTCAACATGTTTATCAGAGTTTTTGGTGCCATCACAAGTTTCAAGCTTTGGGGTTTCTACAATGACTTAGGGATATGACAATCATTGATATATTTGGTGAACGAGTTTTGTCGATGAAGGAAAATTTGTACTTGTTCCTCTTTCGAGGATGACAGAAGGAAGGTTTACTAGGATGGTGATCTTCTAGTGGATCATGGTTGTTGTCTCTACCCTTAGATTCATGAGAAGGAGAGTTGTTATCACAATGATGAGGGTGATGTTTCCATTATAAGTTTTGAGCTCTTGACGGATGCAGATTGGCTTCGAGGTAAGCATATTGCAGGATAACTCTAAAGTAGTCGTGTTGATACACCTCATACCGTGTTGATATTTGAGTTAGAATCTTCACTTTGTTTTCTTTAACTCGGATAAGTCTCACATTTTGAGGTTGAAATAGATTGAAAGTGTACAACACGAGTTCGTTCATGTCTGGTGCGCTGAATAAAGCTCGGATTTGTTAAAGGTCATCTAACGCTGGTGGAACCGAAGAATGATGAGGATGAAGATGATGTCACAATATAGGAAGCGAGAAGTCATATGGACAAATCTAATTCTGAAATGAAGGAATCATATGAGTTTTTTGAACTATTTATTGACGAATCATTAGTGAATCTTGCTTATCCTATTGTTAAGGAGGTTTCTTTAATTTATGGGAAAGAGAACTAGTGAAGCATTGTCTTAAAGATTTTGTTCAATGGTTTTCTCATGCAACGGATGAAACTTCAGAGAATCGAATAAGAATTAAAGAGAATAAAAAACGCTTCCCACAAATGGCATAACTATTCAATATTGGAGCAGAAAATAAGTGATAGCTTGAAGACGATCATCGTTGTAAGATTTACGATGCAATAGTGACGTTTCTTAAGTGGTGGGAGAGGAGGTGTACATGCAAAAAAATTAACACTCTAATGTTCAAGTCACTATTTAAATAAGATAGAACTTCGCAAATATGAATAAATGTATATCTAGGTATGACTCAATTGTATTTATATAGAGAAGTGTACATACAATCGTTTGGATGCATATCAATAATCATGAGTAAAGATAAATTATACTCATGTGTGATATCCTAAAATAAAGGTGTCAATCGTAATTGCGGACTTGAACGTACTTCTTAAGGTAACAAAATAATATAAATAAAATAAAAATATTAGAGTATTTTGATTACATATCCAAATGAATGAATAGAAACAAGCACACAGATTAGAAAAGTATTTCATTATTTAGTCAAATAAATGTGGAGTGTCGATGAAGGCGCGAGTCACACATTTTACCTCAGGCATTTATAGTAGCTATCAAAGATAATTAAATATTTGAGTTGACTTGGAAATGTTCTCGGAAAAGATGTTAAGAACGAAACGTTGCACAACATATTTACACTTAAATCAATCCTACCGCCTTCATTTTTTCATCTAAAATCTCAATTAAACAATTGTGATGAAGTTTTGAATTAACAAACGAATATATAAGATGGCAGTGAATCGTGATATTGACGGCGATGATGATTGCTTACACTACTCCGATGAAGACATCGGCATAAGATGTGGTTGTGGTTTGATTGGGTTCAAGAAAAACCAAGTGTTTGATTACAATTTCAATAGCGAGATAGAAGAAGATGATGATTTGTTTGAGATAAATCTTAAGAAGGAAGAACCATTGGATTCAATCAAAGAAGAAGATTGTGAAAGCAGTACTGTCTTCTCTCTTGATATCCAGAACGATAACTTATCTGATTCTGATTCCGATGTGGTTTATGTGGCTGTTGGAGAAACTTTTTCAAGCATGGAAGCACTTTCGTGGACCTTAAAACACTTGGTGAACCCTAATTTTACTATTGTTTCTCTTATACATGTTTTCCCTCAAGTCAAGCGAATTCCAACTCCATGTAAGTACTTCAACTACTTTTTACCTGTTCTTCTTTTGTGATCATATATGCTTTGGTAATTGAAAGATTAATAATAACAGTGGGAAAAATTCCAAGGAGTCGTGTGAATAAACAACATGTCAACATCTACTTGACCCAAGTGAAAAGCAAGAGGAAAATACTCCTTCAGAAGTTCATTGACCTATGTATTGACTCAAAAGTTAAGGTGGATATTTTGCTTATTGAGGGTGACAACGTTGGTGAAGCCGTTGTAGAGACTGTTACGAATCTAAATATTACAAAACTGGTGATTGGAACTACACAATCTAATCTAAGGTATTATTATGTCTCAAACTTATGTGTGACTACGTTAATCGTTAGTAATATATCATATTTTTGACTAAATGTTTGTACTATTTGGATGATTAGAAAACATGTGTCAAGAAGACAAATTTCTACTGCAGAGATGGTGTTAAAAAGTGTAGAAGAAAGATGTGATGTTAAAATCATATGTGAAGGAAGGGAAGTGATTGATGAGATGAATAATGGGTGCAGTTCACAGCATGATGAAGTAGATGGTTTTGTTCCAATCAAGCGTTTCATGCCCAATCCGTTTTGGTTATTTAGGTCTAGGTGAAAGACCACCGTCACATTTATAGTCAACGACTATAATTTATACAAATCACATATACTTTTTTTTCTTTTTTAATTTCCAAGCTACCTAGACCAAGTAGATTTGTATTAGGATTAGCACTAACGCTGAGTCCATGACACAAATTGGACCAAATAGATACATATTTATGTTTCATCTATTCAATTTTGCAAACTTAATAAATCTTTATCTCCTATTACTACTTTGTCATTTTTTATTAATCTCGGCTCATCATTTACCTTGTATTATACGTTGACAACAAGGTCGTCTAAATAATTGAAAAATTACATCTTAATTTTAAAAATTGAATTTTGTTTTAGATTGATCAAACGGAGACTCTTACTGTTGTACTAAAGAGCTTTTATGGCGACATTCATCCGCATATCACACACCTCGTTTTTTGCTCTGGAATATAATGATGTCGTCTATGGGAATCATTTATTGATTCTCATGAAAATACACGTGATACTCCTCTAATCTCCTTCGTTATGCTACCACAATCGTTCTTGTTAACTGATCGATCATTGCGAATTCTCTCAACTAGCAAACAAAGCTTCCAAATTAATTGATTTTCCGCTCATTGCAACACTATTCCTTCAACTGATGTCATCGTGCTAATCCTCGTATCCACTTATGAAGATCTTCCTCCTCTTCCTGATGGGAGGATGTCTAGTTCTAGTAGCATCTCAGACTACCCCATCTCCCTATATTTTGATTCCTCAATTGGTTAGTCAAGGAACTTTCCAAGTCCTACCATGATTCAACCTTTTCAACAACTACCCCAGGTTCAAACTTCGAAATAACCTCTGCAACGAGTGCAAACACTTGAGTCGAAAATGTCCCAAAACCTTTAACATCTCTAAGCCACATACGCGATACATATAAGGAATGAACTATAACAAGTATCTACAAACTAGTGCGGCAACGGAGCACACAACTTGTGAATAGGAGACTCATATGTATAGAAGAAAATTAACAAAAATCTTTGTGGTGAGACGTTATTGATAAATGCCAAAAATGCTAAAAAGGTCACTCATGAAAAAGAGCATTTATCAAATTTAAAAAGCACTTATTCATATAATTATGCACACTCTGGCAAGAAATTAAATACATCTACTAATGTGTGTTTCATTATGCAGGAAATGATCAAAAGATGGAAGACAAGGCAAAAACACATGTGATATTTCGCTACAGCGAGCTTGCACCGAAGACAGGTTTGATAAGCGAACTATGTTCGCGAAGCGAACTTAACCCATAAAAACAAAGAGCCAAATAACTTGTTGCAAAGAGAAGCGAAAGCCTAATTCGCTAAGCAAGCCTTGTTTCGCTTAGCAAATTCAAGACAGTAGCAAATCAAGCCCATTTTGCCAAAAGCGATAAGTAGTGAGAAAGTTTGCTTCGCGAAGAAAACGTTCACTTAGCGAACTATTGGCGGTCTTCTGAAGGTGGTTTAAAATTCAAAACTTAATGCAGAAGAAACAAGGACTTTGCTTAGCGAACTTCACCTTGCTAAGAGAACTCAGGCGACCATGACTAGTATAAAAGCAGACCAAGGGTAATGCAGAAAGATATCAGTTTTAGTTTTTTAATACAGTTTGTAACAGTTGAGATAGTTAATCCTGAAAGTTGCAATAGACATTTAGTGGAGGGAATCGAAGAATCGAGCTGGATACGCAACAACTATCGATGAATAGTCTTTGATGCTCATTCATCTCCAACTCTTCTTTTTGTTCAAGCTACCGTGAAAATGGCCAGCTAAACTCCCTCTCTTGCTAGGGATTGGATTACTCTACCGAAATCGTATTTATGTTTACTGATTATACTTTTAATATAAGCATGTTGTTATGACTATCGATTCTATCTTGTTTTCATCACTTAAATCTTATGAAATTAAATGTTAATGAAAATTGCATTTGAAATCATGAACCAAAGATAATGAATCACTTAAACAATAATTGCTAGACATAAAATCAGGTTTAAGATCCATTTGAATACCTGAGATTAAATACCATCGTTTCGATTAATCGGTTGAGACATCATCAATTAAGCGAACCGAGGGAAATCTTGAAACTTTATGTAGACATACATGCTGTTTTTGAAAAAGTATTTGGAGATAAGAATAAAAACATGGTTACTGATGTTATGCAGAATTAATCAGTAAGTTGCATACGTAAACGGTAGAGGAAACCCAGTCCCTGCAAGATCACTCATTATCTTAACCTTTCATTTACGTTATTCCGTTTAAATTACGTTTCGTTACTTTTATCAAATCAATCTTATTAGAAACCTTAACTTAAGAAGATATCAATAATCTAATCGCTACTAATATCTCTCCAGTCTCTGGATACGATAACAAAATACTTTCTTTTGATTTATTCAACATCAAAATGGCGTTGTTGTTAGGGACTGACATTTAGATATTACGAGCCTAACAGTTATTGTCATCTTTTAAAGTTTGTATATTTGTTAAAATATTGTATATATTCATATCTATTCTTTATCTTACTTTCTCCTAACATTTCTTGGTTAGACCTGCAAAGCTTTGTGTATGCAAGGTATAAACTCGAAATAATTAGTACCCTTTAATCCCGAGATCGAAAGGACAACTCGAAAGAACAAACAACGTACAAAGAAGCTGAAGCAATCTAACAAGCAAAAGAAAAAAGAATCTACTTCATAACTACCAACAACTTCAACAATCATGGCAGACGAAGACAATGCAAATGGTCCGTGCGAAAGCACCTCAAGATGGCTCGCCCGTCTCACCACCAACCCAGCCGCAAGACGAGTTGAGATGAAAATAGGATTGTTGCAAATCATTTATGCTAAGCCTTTTGTAGGTTTTTGATCACGAAGATCCATACACCCATCTCACCAAATTCTACGAACTTGCCAGTACATTGGGTGCACTAGAGGCTGAAGAAGAGGCTGTGTTCATGAGACTCTTTCCATACACTTTGATCGGCAAAGAAAAGGATTGGTACCTCGATATACCAATTGAAATCATGACCAATTGTAATGTTTTGGAGAAAAAATTTCTTAGCAGGTTTTTCTCTCACAACCGGTTCATGGATGCGAAAACAGCCATTGTCGCATTTACTCAAACTACAAATGACTTTGTGTGAAGCTTGGGAATGATACAAATCCATGTTACGGAAATGTCCAAATCATGGTTTTGACAATCTTGCACAAATTCACATCTTCCGCAACAGATTGCAACCTCAGTCGAAACTCTTACTTGACACAACAGTTGGTGGTTCCTTGATAGCAAAAAGCGCGGAAGAAGCATTTGTAATTATCAATAGGATGGCTCTCACTGATCACCAAGTCCAACACAATCGGGTTGCCACGAATGTCTTGACGGCTCCTTGGCCCTTTGCAATGTAGGGAATTGACATGATCAAAGAGATTATACCTACCGCTTCCAATGGGCATCGCTTCATCCTGGTAGCCATTGATTACTTCACGAAGTGGGTTGAAGCTGCCTCTTTTGCTACTGTTACCAAGAACATCGTGGCACGGTTTATCAAGCATAACCTGATATGTCAGTACAGTGTGCCAGAGAGAATCATCACTAACAATGGTACAAATCTCAACAATACAATGATCACCAAACTCTGTAAACAATTCAAGGTCCGGCATCATGATTCTTCCCCTTACCGGCCGAAGATGAATGGCGTTGTTGAAGCTGCAAATAAGAACATTAATAAGATCATACAGAAAATGACAGTGACATACAAAGACTGGCATGAGATGTTACCATTTGCTCTTCATGGTTATCGCACCTCAGCACGTACGTCAACAGGGGCAACACCTTATTCTCTGGTATACGGTATGGAGGTTGTCCTACCAATTGAGGTCCATATCCCTTCTTTTAGGATCATGAAGGATACGGGTTTAAACAAGGACGATTGGATCCAGACTCGACGTGATCAACTGAATCTGATTGATGAGAAAAGGCTTACTATTGTTTGTTATTGTCGTACCCCAAAATTTGCCCTCCCATTTTTCATAGAAGACACACCCTAGGGTTTCTCGGATATTCAAGTTGGCTCAGGAATCGACCAGACAAATTCTCTTATGTGGCAGTAAACCAGCAATTAGGGTTTTTCTTGCAATTCTAAAAAGAAAATGAGTTCTCAAAAATTCAATTGGCTTTCACAGGTATTCATGCTTCCTCAGGTTTACTGAAAAAAGACAATGTTTGTTCTCAAGGCATGATTTGTTTGGGGACAAGAGATGGAGATTAAGACTGTTATTTAGGACAATCATGATTGTGGGATCCAAGTTGACCAGATTGATTTGCGTCTTTAAAACATTTGTTTGGTTAGGAAATGGAATATACAGTGCGTGTTTGTTTGGAATGAAGTTACATAATTAGTGGGATTACTTGGAGTTTAAGTTACCATATTGGAGCATTTTGTTTCAAGTATCTTGATTGGGAATTTCAAAAATCAAATAGGATGCGAGGAGAAATTACAAGTTGTTGTTAATAAAGAATTTCAATTGACATCAGAATATTTCATGCTACAACTCAAGGTTTTTTCCAATTTCAAACGTTGTTACAAAACAATTTATTATTTTAAATACTTTAGGTTTTACAACTTATCGTATTTGAAAATGAATTGATACAATTATTGGATACAATACAAGAATGATTTTTCTAAATTACAAAGAAAATCTAAATGCTTGATTGGCCTAGGAGAATTAATCTATGCCTAAGTTTGTCTGAAGGTTGAAGTCGTATCAATTTCCTACGCTTATCTCCAAGACTTCCATGCTTGCCACATAGTTTCTTGCCTTCCTTGCTTTGTCATATCCAATTATGCTCACATGAAAACAAAAGAAAGAAAATGTGATTAGTACAAAATCATTTTGGCATGAACAAAGATTTTAAATGCTATTCATCATTAAGGTTTGCAAAGTGGAATCAGAAGGCCATTTTAATTCATCATAATTTATTTCCTCTATTTACAAATCACAAG